GAGCTGGGAATGTTCCCCTGGAGAAGGGAAGGCTCCAGGGAGACCTGAGAGCCCCTTGCAGGGCCTAAAGAGGCTCCAGGAGAGCTGGAGAGGGACTGGGGACAAGGCAGGGAGGGACAGGACACAGGGAATGGCTTCCCACTGCCAGAGGGCAGGGCTAGATGGGATATTGGGAAGGAATTGCTGACTGGGAGGGTGGGGAGGGGCTGGAATGGATTTCCCAGAGAAGCTGTGGCTGCCTCTGGATCCCTGGAAGTGTCCAAGGCCAAGATTCGAGCAACCTGGGCTAGTGGAAGGTGTCCCTGCCCATGGCAGGGGGTGGTAGAATTAGATGATTTTTCATGTCCCTTCCCACCCAAACCATTCCAGGCTTCTTTGACATTCTCTGCAAACGTGGCGTGTCCATATTGAGTTTTTAACATCCCGAGCAAGATGGAAAACTCAGAGCACTCCTAATGTTTGCTCAAACTTTAAATGCCTGCAGAAAATTCCAGCTTTGTTGCTCATCTAATTCCCTCCCATTTTGCAGCCTGACATTTCAGGCTCCATTTGGGAGACGTTGAGCTGTGTCACTAATGGCCCTGTCTCAGACACCCACGTGCAGTGGCATTCAGGTGGGCACAGCCCATTGCTGGCACAGCATGAGGGCATCATTAGCTCTGTGACAAATATCCCTTTGTTGCCAAGTTATCCTTATTTTTCTTTGTTTTTTATTTTTTTTTTCTTTTTGTTCCCCCCTCTCCCCCCCATAATTTATTGCTGAGCAGATTTAAATCAGCCAACTCTGCTCCTGAGAAAGAAACTGCTACAACAAAAAACACTCACTGAGAGAGCTGTGAAAGTTTGGGTTATTTTTCTGGTGCTAATAAATGTGGAATTAGACTTTCTTGACTTATATAATTAAAAAAAAAACAAAACAACAACCAAATCCTTGAACCCAGTGAAGGATTTCTTGCATTGTGACATCACCAGAGCGACTGTCCAGATGGTGCCTGGAGTGTGGAATGTGCTGGGAAGTTGTGGATCAGTGAGCAGGGATGGTTGGTCCTGTACTCAGTGCTCAGTGCAGTAATGTTGTGGGCACTTCCACACACTTGGAAATCCTCAGGGCTCTCTGGGAATGAGGATTTACAGCTCATTCTCTCTGATGGGGTAGAGAGTTTTCTTCTCTCCGAGTCTGCTCGTGTGGATTCGCAAGTTCAGCTCTTCTTGGAGAGGTTCTGCAAACTGCAGCTCTGGGAATCATAAGGAGGGGGGAAAAAAAAGGCATTATTTCCACTTTTTGTGGAATTATGGGAAGGTTTGGGTTGGAAGGGACATGAAAGTTCATCTTGTTCCAACCCCAGCACCTTCCATTATCCCGGGTTGCTCCGACGTGGCCTTGGACACTTCCAGGGATCCAGGGGCAGCCACAGCTTCTCTGGGAAATCCATTCCAGCCTCCTCCCCATCCTCCCAGACAGGAATTCTTCCCAATATCCCACCTATCCCTGCCCTCTGACACTGGGAAGCCATTCCCTGTGTCCTGTCCCCAGTCCCTCTCCAGCTCTCCTGGAGCCCCTTTAGGCCCTACAAGGGGCTCTCAGCTCTCCCTGGAGCCTTCTCTTCTCCAGCTGAACATTCCCAGCTCTCCCAGCCTGGCTCCAGAGCAGAAGGAATCCAGCCCTGGGAGCATCTCCATGTTTTTTTCTGGTCTCCCTCCAGCAGGTTCATGTCCTTCCTTCATTTGCAACCTGGGATAGTGGAAGGTGTCCCTGCCCATGGGAGAGGATGGTACAAGATGAACTTCCCTTCCAACCCAAACCATTCCATGATTCTCTGCTCCCTGTTTCCTTCAGAGCTGCCTGGTCTTGGATTGTTTGGAGGAACTATCGTTCCTCTCCCCGTGGGAGATACCCTTGATAGAGTCAAGAAAGGCAAAGGGATATTCCTGGTGTGTTTTTATGGGCATTCCTGGTGGTTCTCCAGCACAGGGAATTGCCTTTGGTGGACGAATCCAGTCCCATTGGCTGCTCCATGTAAATACACATTTCAGACCTTGTGGGAGAGTCCTCAGGGGGGATTTGCTCCCAAATATACAGACAGAGGGATCGTGTCCTCTCTCCTGCTCCAGCTGAGGCTTTTCTCCAGTGTCAGCCACCACAAAGCTCCAGCATGGAGAGAGGAGAAGGTGAGAGGAGCAGTGGAGCCTGCTGGAATCCTCAGGATTGGTTGATGTGTAGGAGCCATCCCCAGGAACAAGATTTACATCTCAACATGTTTTTCAAGGCGAAACCCTTCGATATTTTAAAAGACTGAAAAACAAAACTGCTTTTCCTTGTGCCTCCCACCTTCCCCCGGAGCTTCCATGGCGATTAATTGAAAACCCAGAGCCAGGAAGGTGTAAAATCACCTTTTTTTCTCCCTGTTCCAGCATTCTGTTCTACTCCAGTCCCTCAGAGCGGGGTCGAGCGGATCAGGTGGATCGTTTCCTTCCTGGCTGTGGAGGAATAAAACACGGAGGGCCCAGTCAATAATATCGATTAGTGCAGGGTGACTTGGTGTAACAAGAATCACAGCCCTTCCTCAATTCCAGCCTGCATTTCCTCCTTTCATGCCTCAGCAGCTCGTGCTCGGATAAATCCTCCAATAAGTCTGTAAAGACACAGAGACCCCACTGGAAATTGCAGGATCTGACATTAACAGGGGAAATGAATAATTTTCTTTTCCTTGAACTCACACCTCTTTTTTTATTTATTTTCTTTTTTTTAAGCTGTCACATCGTGTGAGTTCGATTCAGGAAATTCACGGTGTTTTGTTTTTTTTTTTAAGAGCTTCCTCTTTCTAAATACAGGCAGTAAAGCTGAATTAACTCTGCCTTCAGCTGCTCTGTGCTTCCTGATTTCCTTGTGTTGGTGTAGGATTTACCAGGAGGCTTCCACATCCCAGCACCGCGTTGGAGGAGCTGACTCAGCTGTGGAAATGCTGTGACTGCAGATATCCCGAATTTCCCTAGATTTCTTAAATCCACATTTTAAATCCACTGCTGGGATGGGAATTCTTGTAGAAAACACTCCTGGGATGGGAATTCCTGTAAGAAACACTCCTGACCTGGAGGGACCTTTTGGGATATCGAGGAGCTGGTGCTGTGACCTGCTCAGTCCTTGGGTTTTGCTGTGAGGTTGCTACAGGAGGGGCAAATAAATCCAATAAGTCCAGCCATCAAAGAGCTTATTTTTTTGCAGGTGATGTCCTAAGGCAGATAAACTTCCCTTTGGAAAGAAGGTTGGAGGCACTTTCTTCCCCTCACACCCTTTCCAGTTTGGAGACTTTCTTCTTGTTTCAAGGCAGACACACGTCAGGGTCAAAAACTTCCATAACCTGCTGGTGGAGCTTGGATTTTCAAGGACTTTGTCGTTTCCCTGCACCTCTAAAGCTGCCCCAGTAATGTGATGAGCTCCTGTATTTATTATTATCAATCCCTGAGGAAGAGTTCACATGAAAAACGGGAAGGGCTTCGTGATCTTTGGGATGTACAAACTTTGCCCGAGTTCGTTTTTTGGGGTTCTTTGAGTTTTTCTGCCAAAACCCCACAGTTGATGGGGTTGTTTGTGGGAGGGTGGCAGCACA